GTTAATGGGGCTGAGCATGCAACAGTACTTACTCCGGACAAGTTGAATAGTTATGAGAAAACATTTCTCTGAACAAGGTTGAGAACTGTACTACTGATACAACAGTACTTATTTAGAAGGCAGTTTGACATGTTCGTTTAGCTACACATTAATAGGTTCCCTGCTGGGGCTTATGACTTCCTGAGCCCATGTGCTTTTGACTATGTTTACACTATCAGTCATGAGTTCTCTCCTGAGGAACAGGCTTCAAATTAGATTTGAAAGTGGTATTGTGGCATTCAGTATTCTCTGCTAGCTAAGAGCACTGATCCCTTTTCCACTTCAGTGTCCCGCGTAGCATCTACCACCACAATGAAAGCTAGCCAGCAGGGAAGACATTTACAGCTTGATTTTTTCCATGCTCTGCAGCCAAGGGTGTTGTATCTTCATCAATAAAGTCCAACTATCTAGTTATGGTAGGCAATCATCAACAATAATATCCAGCTTCCAGCTCTTTCTTTTTTAATTTTGGACATTGGGTATTTGAACTCCAGTCTTCATATTTGCATAGCACGTGCTCTTACCCACTGAGTCATCTCCTTATCCTTTGGATAATCTACATAAGCTTCATGGCTTTTTAGAATTGTATCAAGGAGAAAACACATAATTTTCTTTCATAAGTGTCGAGTATTTTTTAGTTAACAAATGGTGCTTCTCATGAAGGCTATCCACAGACAGAAGATCTTATGGTTCACTCTCTGTGAGTGTCACCATAAGTGGCTTTTTTGGGATCACTGACATTACTGGCAAACCTCTGAGGTCAAGAGATATTTCATTAATTGAAATAATTATGATATCATTTCTACACTGTAGATTCCCTCGATTTTTCCTTTTGGCATTAGTCATTATAACTAATATTCATATCACATTTGATGTAACCTCTGTCAGTTCTTGGAATAACATTTGTGCAGCAATGGATTTTACCAAAAAAGCACAAAACTGGTTGCAGAGAGCATTTATTACAATGTCACTAAGGTGAGTCAGTCACTTGTCAGGACTTATTCAATGCCCCAAATAGAACTATTCTGGGCAGTCAGCATTGCACAAACACAGAGCTCAAGGAACCTATGCTAAGGAACAAGACATGTTATAATGGAGTTTCTGATGAGAGGCAACAAGCATTATAGTTTTGGTTGGCATTTATTTTTATGTGCCCAGGATCAAATGCAGGGTTCTGCATATGTTAAGTAAGCATTCTCTACCACCGAGATGCTGTAATTTTTATTACTGTTTTAAATTATTTGCATACTCACATGCATGCATTTTACACTCATGTTCAGGCAGGATACCTGTGAAGGTGAGAAGTATTGGATCCCTCTGGAGCTGGAGTTACAGGTAGCTGTGAACCTGGTTTGGGTGCCTGGAACTGAACTTGGGTTCCTTATAAGAGCAGTATACTTTCTTACCTGCTGAGTTCACTGCTATCATTTGTAAGGGTGGATCTCTGAGTTGTTGGAGCTGGCAGAAAGGACTTCATGGAAAAGCAACTGCATTTGAGAGGACTGAGGTGTAGACATTAGGGAATAATAAGTTGATTTCTTCAGAAGTACTGAAGGGCACAGGAGGGGCCCCAGAATGCTGCCTGCTTTTGGGCTCTGCCAGGACATCCTGGGAGAGGCGTGGCAGAAGCAGAATGGCTTGTGCCTGTAGTCCTTTGATCTGGCAAAAGTGAGTCTGAAATGTCGAGACATTGGATTTGTTAGAAGTCAAGTGTTTATTCATCATTGCTTCTTCAGTCTACTTGTTGGTTGAGGGTTATGTGCAGAAACTGAGCTCGAAATAAAAGCAGTTCAGTTATGAGTTCATATCTAAAATTTGAAAAACTACATGAAAAGTTTGCAGGAATTTAGCCAGATTTTCCTCCTGTGTCTTCATTTCCTTGTTCCTTCTCTTCCCTCCCTCCCTCCTTCCTTTCCTCCTTCCCTTCTTCCTTTCCTCCCTCCTCCCTTCCCTCCCTCCCTTCCCCCATCCTCCCCCCTCTCTCTCTCCCTCACTTCTCCCTTCCTTCCCTTCCTTTTTTCCTCTCTCTCCTGTTTTCTTTCATTTGGGTAGACTCAGTATGTTGCACAGGCTGGTGTTGAACTCCTGGACAAAGACATCCATTTCCCTCAGCTTTCCAAGTAGATGGGACTACATGCATGTCCTACTGTATCCAGCCTTAAAATGTCTTGATTAAGTCATTTTTTTAATTCAATGAAGTTTATTTTACTCACATTTTTCTTTATAATGTTTTATATTATGCAACACATGTAATGGTATTACACAAGAATTCTATATTAACTAAGATACAGTAAAGATATTAAGACAAAGTTCATAGTGATCATTTTAAGATTTGCATATGTGAGTGGATGTACATGGTGCAATTATCTCTGTATGTTTAGTTGTTGTCCATTTCCCCCTCTTGTGATGCCACCGGCACTCTGCTATGCAGACAGGTTTTTACATCTATCTGTTTCTGTACATGGTGTTTCCATGCATGTAAATGTATATGTTTATATGTTAGCATACTTGACACACACTCATTAGCTCTCTGGAAGGTGGGGCGTGAAGTTATCAGCCACCAGACTAGTCACTTCTGCTGTAGGAATCCTCTTTTACTGTGAAGTGTTCTACAAATACCACTTTCTGAAATTTGTTTTATTTTGAGATGGGTTCTTTTTGTAGCTCAGGCTGGCCCAGAACTCAGTGTGTAGCCAATGCTGGCCTTGAATTTATGATATCTTCTGCCCCCCCACCTCCTGGGATTACAGGCATGTAACACTATTTACTTATTGCCCTGTCATTCTACGAAAAGGGTTGATGTGCATTGTAATGATGCAGTGATAGACTTCAACTTCTGTTACTAGTTATTGAACCTAAGGTGTTTTTATAATTGAATTTTAGTTAATTATTTTTATTGGAATCTCTCTCTTTCTCTCTCTCTCTGTGTGTGTGTGTGTGTTCTGCCACTTTGAGTGTGGAGAGGTCAGAAGACACCTTTGAGAGTCAATTCTCTGTTTCTACCTTCATGTGGACTCTGGGGCTTGACCTCAGGTAATTGGGTTTAAGCAGCATGCACTGTTACTTCCTGCTGAGCCATATCATAAGGCCTGGTTTTAGTTAGTAATGCATGTACCTAATAAAACATTGAAACTGGGCATTGGGCTCACAGCCTGTAACCTCAGCTACTGGGAACACTTAGCTAGGCAATTCAAAACCAGCCTGAACAACTTAGCTAGACCCTGTTTCAATATAGGCTTTTAAAAAGCACTGGGGACATAGCTTAGTGGCAAAGTACTTGACTAGTAGCAACAGGCTCTTGGGTTCAATACCAGTGTCACAGACCAGCAAAGAGAGATAAAAACCATTAGAATCATACAAAAAATACAGGGTGATAATGCATTCCCTGTGACTGCTCTTTCTACTCCTCCCCAGTCTTATTATATAACTTGCACATTTTCTGAGTAATATATGGGGGCCAAAAGGCAGGCATACTAATGGATACAGGAACTGGCAGAGCTGACAGGACACTGTAGGTGGCCAGCCTCACACACATCCCTGGCTTTCACACACTGAATTGCATTTTGTTCCCATCTAGTGATGTGACTGATGACAGTGCAGAGTGATGTCATTGTTTTCAGTCGTGCTCTACAGTAACTACTTCCTGTCCATGGATCTTTCCTTTGTTCTTGGTCTCCTGCTATAAGCAGTGCTCCAACAAGTAGCCTACCCAAACTGAATTTAAATGTGGCATAAATGCCACACAGGAGATTTCCAGGAAAACAGTATAGTCATATAAAATTAACATCAGTGTTATTAAATTTCCTTCCAGAAAGCCAGGTATGGTGGCACAGGCCTGAAATCTCAGCTCTGAGGAACCAAGTGAGGATGATGGGTTAGGCTGAGGCAGGAAGATCATCAGTTCAAGCCTGGAATACAAAGTGAGACTCTGTTTCAAACAGTGACAAAAAATAGAAACAAAAATCCCTTTCAGGGGTTTGCATTTTTGTTCCACCAACAATGTGTATGATGGCATTTCTCAAGCTGATAAATCTTTTATCAGCTACCAAGATGAGAAACAAATCTCACTGATTTGATTTAATCCATCATTGGATTTTAAGCTTTGGACATTTTAAATCAAGTTTCTCTCTATAACCAATTTGTGAACACACACAGATCCTACAAGATAGCGGGGGGGGGGGGGGGGAGCTAAGAGGTATGTCTAATTCTTTGTTCTGTAGCAATAGGAGGAAGAGAAATTTAGTAACAGCAATGACTTTAAGGCCTGTCCTGTCTGGATTTGCTGCTTCTAGGTATGGTGAATTGCTATGTGCTCCTAAAACACAGTGTGTAGTTAGCTAATCTGAAGCAAGAGGGCTTGTGCTGAAAGAATAGAACCAAATCGCATTGTAGGAGAGGTGGATATCTTTTGTTTGTTGTTTTTATAAGACAGCATCTCATGTAGCTAAGCCCAGGCTACTCTTGAGCTTCCATGGGTCATTTACTTATCCTTTTTTTTTTTTTTTTAAAGAAAATTATAGAAATGAGAGCATTGCCATGGGTCATGCTCTGTTGGCATATTATTAAGCCCCCAAAGCCCCCAATCCATTATTTTATTTTGAAGAACCAACAAGCAAGGGCAGATCCTCAAATCAGGATCCACATAGATCCTCAAACCAGGCCACTGAATGTTTGACAGGGAACCTTGAATCATACAGAAGATATTGTAAAGCCAAAGAAAAGCAGACTCCCTCATCCTGAAAGGGGATGGTGGATCTCGCCGGCCCCTCCTCTTGCAATATATAAGAAAACCCTGTATTATCGCAAGAAAAAAAAATATATACCTCTCTTCTCTAGACCCTAGAGCCTAGAGTGAGGCTCAAGGAAGAGCTTGAGAGCGAGGCAACACTCCAGTCTCACCCACCCCTTCGCGATCGATGGGGGAGGTCGCGCTGCGCACCGCTTTTTGTGCCGGCTTCCCCGGACCTGGTCCTGGGCAGTTGGGAATTGCATCCCCGAGGTGGGGCCCATGGCGGGCTGACTGCGTGCTTGGGGACCTCTGGACCACCCCAGGCTCTGATTCCTGTGTTCCCACCCGCTAGGCATCCCCCTCCCCGGCGCTGCGGCTGGCGCGCGCCCCGCCTGACGCTGCAGCTGGGCCGGCGACTCGCCATTGGATTAAAAATAGCAGTGCCCGCCCGCCCGGGCAAGGGCCGAGCCTCCCTAGCTGGAGCGGATCCTCAGCCGGAGCTGATCCCCAGCCCGCACGGCCGCTGCGCCCCGGTCCTGCTCTCCCGCTGCGCCGCGCTCCTCCCCAGGCCCGCTGCGCTCTGCGGCCATGCAGCGCCGGGGCGCCCTGTTCAGCGTGCCGGGCGGCGGCAGGAAGATGGCTTCAGGGGACCTGGGCGAGCTGCTGGTACCGCATATGCCCACGATTCGCGTGCCCAGGTCGGGGGACCGCGTCTACAAGAACGAGTGCGCCTTCTCCTATGACTCCCCGGTAAGGAAGATCCCCGGCGTGGTCGCGCAACCGGCGGCCTAGGAATTGGGTGGCGCGCGGGGCAGGGGACCAGATGAGCTGCGGGCCAGGGACCTCGTTCTCCTCCTGGCGCAGGGTTTGGCTCCCCCGCACCAAGCGAGCGATCCCGGGCGCGGCGGCAGAAGACAAGGTTCTCTGGGGCCTTCGCTCCGTTAGCCTGCGGCTGGGCTGCCAGGGCCCCGGGCCATCAGCCTCCCGCCCACAACTCCTGCACTGAGAAAGGAAAGGAAGAGTTAGTTCAGGGTTCCGAGCTGCTTTCCTGGGTGACAGAGGGCGGGGACATGGTAGGTGAGCGCGCTCAGCCAGTCCTCCTAGTATAAAAGCTTTTCTTTGCCTATGGTTTCCCACTGCGGGACAATGCTGATGGCCTCTAAGCTCGCCCGCCACCCCTTACTTCCCATCCCATTCGTTTCTGGCCCTTGTCAGGTCCGGGTGGTCCACTAGGGCAGCAGAACTAAGGGGCCTGTCGCTAGCTTACGATGGTTACTTAAAGCCTTACTCAAATCCTTCCCTTCCAAGTGAGTCACTGTGCTGACGTGCGCTATGTGAATTATTAAAAGTTCACTCCCGAATCGTGACCCCGCAGGAGGAGGGGAAGATAAAAGGCATCGTGGCCATCCACTAGGGAGCCTGGTAGAGCTTTCCAAACTGGTGGGTTGTGGGGTTGTGAAAGCAAGCAGGGTGAAATGCCCCTTTCAGTAGTCAAGATGGGCTTCAAAGTGACTCAGCTGTCTGGCGGCTATCTGCCTTTTTGAGGACCAGGCTATTTTTATCCCTCCACTTTGGATCTCATATGTCACCCAGCAGATCTTGGGGCATCGCGAGGTGGATGGGTGGGAGGGAGAGGCAGGTTTCATAGAAGTTGTCCAACATATTTTATTCTTAGAATATATATAGTTTTTTTTTTTTTTGAGGGGGTGGAGGACCATCAAATGAGCCGCAAAATCTCACAAATTTCCCTTTTGGGTTGATTTGGGGGTGGTTGTAAGCCTTATTTTGTTTGGCGTACACTGGAGTTCTGGGTGGTGAGTATAATTTTGTTATTATCTTCTCTAGGGTTGTTCTGTTTTTCTATTATGCTATTCCAGATGATTTGGATCGCAAATTACAAATAATTTACAAATTTGTTAATTATTTATTTTCATGTCTTTTAAAAAGACCCAGGTAGAATGGAGTGAAAGATTACATTTAATAGCATATTTTGTCATTACTCACAGTGATGTCATTGCACCCTGGGAAAGACCATTTTCAGGTTGTGTGGACCCTGTGGGGTAGATTATATTAAAAACTCCCAGAGTGGAGCACTGCTAGCGTCTGGCTTAAGGCAAGGTGGCCTAACGCCTTGGAACATGTAAAATAGCTTTCTCCATGGTGGACTGGTTGCTTTTCAAGCTCTACTCATAGACTTTTTACTTCGGAGCAAGTGTGAGAAATAGCCAATTGTTGTAACTGGTTTCCACAGATCACAAGGAGCTGGAACTTCCTGTGTGCCAGACAGCGATCTAGAAGTTTCCTTTCTGTTTGAGCGATGATTTCATTCGTATTGCCCCGGTACCTTGGGGGAGACTGGATCCATTTACAGGCAGCGAATCATCCAGTTTCGTTATCTGCATTTCAGGGAAGATGATGAGGGATAATTTAGAACAGGATGCCTGAAAACATGAAGTCTTTAACAGTGGCACTTTAACAGTTCACTGAAAATCCAGCGTTTCTTTGAGCGTTTGACTTTACCAACTCACACATGTGAGAAACACAGTTGGGTCGTGCTGTGGGGCTTCCAGAGGAAGGTCAAAAACAGTCACGTTGGGGTGGGGGTGAGGGAAGACATCTTCCTTTCGGATAGTTTTGAAAAGGCTCATAGCTAAAGATAGAAGGTAAAGGAGGTGAGCCATTCCGAGCAAGGGGCAAATACGCAAACTTTTTCTTCTTGTTTGCCTGTATGCACTGCAGAACGAAAAAGACTGGTTTGGCCAATTGTGGTCGATTTCTGGCTGCTAAGAAAATCCCTGACAGGAGCAGCCGTGGGGAGGCAAGATTTGTGTTGGCTCCCTGTGCCGTCTGTGTTAGACTCAGTGGTATGGTGGAGCAGCTAGGACCACTCAAGGTCGCAGAAGGCTCAGGCCAACATGAGAAGCAGATGTGAGAGCCCAATGACCCATTTCTCTAGGCAGAAGGCACCAAAGATTCTGCTACTTTTTCAGAGTGCCACCACCTGGGGAGAGGGGCCTCAAATCATGGCACCCAGTAAGGTGTGACTTCAGAACAAGAAAGGAGTAGAAAGAGGGCCTTGAGTGCTGAAAAATTATTTAGTATTTATTTATTTTTTTTAAAAACTTTTATTTATTTATCGTTTGATGCTAGGTTTGAACTCGGGCCTTTGTACATGCTAACATCTTACTCTATACTGATCTTCGTTTTAGGTTCTTATACATGTTAGACAAGTACTCTGCCAGTGAGCTATATCTCTAGTTTTTCTTTTATAATTTGAAATAGGGTCTCACTGAGTGGCTGAGCCAACTTATTTAAACTTACTCTGAACCCGGGGCTGATTTTGAACTAGGGATTTTTTCCACCTCAACCTCCTAAATAGCTGGCATCACATGTCTGTGCCATCGGCCCCAGCTTAGAAAGCTACTTTTACATTTATTTTAAAAAGAAAATTTTAGTTGATTAATTAGTGTGTGTGTGTGTGTGTGTGTAGGGAGGGAGAGAGAAAGAGACAGAAAGATAGATGCACCCACATGGGCTATGACTTGCTTGTTGACGTCAGAGGGCAACATGCAAACAGAAAGGAGTCTGTTTTCCTCTTCCTCAATTTTGGGGATTGAATTTGGGTCCTCAGCAGAAATGCTGAGCCATTTCACAGGCTCTTGGAAAGCCACTTTTAGGTAACATGATTGCATGTGTGCTATGGTTTGAATGTGAAATATCCCTTGCAGATTTCTATATTAGAGGCTTATTCCCAGCTTACAATATTGTTATTTTGGGAGACTCTGAAAACTTCAGGACATTAGGTCTAGCAGAAGAAGAGAGTTACTGGGAGTGGGTCTTTGATGGGGGTCCTAGACCGTGGTCCTTTCCTGGCTCTCCCTGCTCCGGTCTGCCAGAAGATAGGAAGCACCTCTACTCTCTTCCACACCTGTGGTGTCTTTGCCCAAATGCATGAGATCATGTGACCATGAGCAAGGGAAATAATGACCCCTCCCCTCCAGCTGAGTACAGTGATATAAAGTAGTACTGCAAAGTAGGTTGGAGGCAGTGATTCCAAGTGTTTGTATCATGGACGCGTACCAGGCCCTAGGCACAGTCATAAGAACTTTATAGGCTGTAATGCATTGGACAGTGTAAAACTCATTTTTATACTCACCGTTTCCTTCCCTCCCTCTAGAGCAGGGATTCTCAACCTGTGGGTCTCGATGCCCACAGGGGTCACATATCAGATATCCTGCATATCAGATATTTACATTATGATTCATAGCAGTAGCAAAATTAAAATTATGAAGTAGCAATGAAAATAATTTCATGGTTGGGAGTCACCACCACAGGAGGAACTGTCTTAAAGCTGGCAGCATCAGAAAGAATGAGCAGTAACCTCTACTGCTCTAGAGTTCGGTAGGGAAGAGATGCTAAAGATGAGGCTGTTTCCCCCACCTCTTTGGCTTTAACAGATCTGGCCTCTGGCTCCCAGTGTGTTCGGTTCACTTGTCCTGTCCTAACTTGGTTTGTCTATGAAGTCTGAAATGTCCTTCCTATCAGAGCTGAGAGGTGAATGTGGGGATCTATCGGTTCCCACATCTAGTCACTTCCTTCATGAGCCTAGCATGGCTCTTTGAGGTTCAGTTACTCTTTATGCTGTTCACTTTGTTCTCTCGTGTTCGTAGCTCTAGTGAGACCAGTCTATGGTTTTTCACCCTGCAACACTCATTTCCTTCCCTGGAACCTTCGAGTTTCTTTCTCAACTATGTCTGACTCCATCCTGCCCCGAGTGCCTACACTGTATAGTCTATGTTGTATACAGGCTCCTGCACTTAGATATCATCTCTTCCATTCTGCCTTTCTTTCAGTTTATTTTATCTCTTTAATTCTTATAGGAAGTCTTGGATACAGCAGGAGCTTCAGTTCAGGGCACACCACCACTCGCTTCAGATCCAGCCTCTTGTATATCCCTTGTTGTTTTAACCTTCTTCTTCTTCTTCTTCTTCTTCTTCTTCTTCTTCTTCTTCTTCTTCTTCTTCTTCTTCTTCTTCTTCTCCTTCTTCTCCTTCTCCTTCTCCTCCTTCTCCTTCTCCTTCTCCTTCTCCTTCTTCTCCTTCTCCTTCTTCTTCTTCGTTGTTGTTATGACAGAATCCATGACAAAAGCCACTGTTTTGGCTATGGTTGAGGATGCAGACAGGGAAGTCATGGTGGTAGGAGTTCAAGGAAGCTAGTCCCCTTGCATCCATAGGCAGGATACGGGAAGTGACTGCTGGTGTTTAGTTGCTTTTCTCATTTTTATTCAGTCTAGAAACCCAGCCCATAGGCTAGTGACTCCCCACCACAATTAACCCATCCTAGAAACCCCCTCAATGACATGGCCAGAGAGAGGTTTGTCTCCTGGGGGACTGTCAACTTGACAGTCAACACAGAAGATCACACTGGCCTGATCTTGGATCACTGAAAATCAGCAGGGTGAGACAAGGCTTCAGAATAGGGCAGCTCACATTGGAAAGCTCTCTCAGGGAAGGAAAAGGGACAGTGACAAGGAGGAAGGAAAGCTCTGGCTACCACAGCCAGCAGCAGCCATCAAGTCCCAGGGAGGGGAAGCTGTGGAATGCATTTCCAGCCTTCCACTTGATGTGCAGCAGAGGGAGAGAGTATTTATCTTCTGGCTCTCAGCCCCATCCCCCTGCTGGGTGAGTGTTGATCCAGGACACTCCCTCATTTTCCAACTCAGCATTTGTTCTGGAAGGCCTCTCCAGTAC